GAGTGAGTGAGCGGCTGTGTGGTGCTTAGTTGCTGGCTGGGGTTAAACCACGACACACACACATACAAGTGACCCAATAATAAAGTGTTGGGTAACCTCTGTAAAGAGCTCCAATAATATCTGTTCTCCCAATACATTTGCCTCAGCGGTCATTTAGTATTTAAAATACCATATTAACTGCTAAGAAGAAAATAGTCCTCTGATTCAAGGGAATATATCAGTCAGGAATATTGAAACAAATTGATTTTTTTTCTGTAATATTATTCTAACATCGTGCTTGGTCTGGCACTGGCTTGACGGTGTTCTTCAGTACTACATGCCAATCGTCTATTCATTACCCCAGTCATTAAAATCATCATTTCTAAAAATTAACACACCTGAACATACTAAAAAAGCCTTTGGATTCCATCATCCTTTCAAAATTAACTTTTGAAAGCATTCAGACACCTACAGAACCTGATTTTAACCAAGTTAAGTTAAAGATTTGGACTTTGCATCATATTTATCCCATCTCAGCAAAGACAATTGTTCACCAAGTAACACCATTTTAAACATTTTGGGGACCCGCCATCAGCTGCAAATATAAAAATCACTGAATGTTTTAGAAGAACGGACTAATGCAAGTGAACTGCATCACAGTAAAAAAAATACGCACAAAATACCTCATTCAAATACTTTCCAGCAAAGAACGTTTGATAACCACACATAGTTTTGAGCAGCGCTGGGAAGGTGTATGGTTCTTGAATCTTCTGCCATAACTTGCTGCTACAGTTTCCTTCCAGAGTGTTATTGACAACATGATGATTATGTGGATATTTTCCTGTTAAAATGCTAGCTCGACTGGGACAGCAAAGCGCACTGGGAACATACTGGAAAGACAGGGTGAAGAGATACAAGACTGACATTGTAAAACAATTTTTCCTCAAAATTTATAGTTTCAAAATATCAGCTAACAGGTTGATTAAAGCGTTCATCAGCATTAAAGCATACTTCTATCTGGACACACAGAATTACATCCCAAGTATTTTCACTAGTGAAAGGTGCACATGAAACCGGTTATAAGTTTCTGCAGCGTATGCCCTTCACCCTCCCTTGCATTAGATGTGTTTTTTATACAGTCGCAAGCATCTGTTAAAATACTGTTTGCCGGTTAATTCACTCCATTATTTCAGCCGTAGCAATACATTAGAAGGTAAAAAGAGTAAAGTGGGTTTTCAGCACCCATGAAGCTGACAGTTTTAAGCAGCTTCTTCTAATGCTTCTCAGTTTGTAAGAAAAATACTCAGATTGTTCAGTTCTACTTCACAGCTAAAGGAAGTCAGCACAAGTACTTTTAGGAAGTGAAACCTTCCCTCCCAGATTCGGCATGTGACCTTAAGCTACGTTCATTTTGAGACCCCAAAGTAGTTAGAGATCGAATTTGAAAAACCCACACACCTACGTACAGACTTCGTAAAACTGCCACCGGTTCTGAGACCTCAGATGACCCAAGACACAACTACACAAAGACGCGCACCTCGGGGCTTCCGAGCGTTAACGCCAACACTCACCGCGTTGACGAAGGTTACTCCCATCTGCGCAATGAGAGCGTTCGTCTTCCTCAGGGGGGTCTGGAAGAAAGGCACCAAAAGGAAATCGGCTGAACGCGTAAGGACGCCAGGCGAAGCTGGGGGGCCGAAGCAGCCCTACCACCTCCTGACGGCAGGCCCACCGCCACGGTTTTCGGCACCGCCCGGGCAAGCCGGGCCGGCCTTTGGCC